AAAAAAAAGAGAAAAGAAAAGAAGAAGAAAATTATACGAGGACAAATGTAAAAATGTTATAATCGTCCCCCTGGCTGTTATTTCTCAAAATTTTTTTTGCCATCAACCCTTAAGGGTGTGAACAAAAGTTCTCTGAAAAAGAATTTGGAGGAAAGACACTTTATTTCACTGAACAGTTTGCAAACAGGTTTAAGATGAAGGTGTGTTCCAGACAACAAAAAGAGTGTTTAGGTTTAATTGCAAAAGTTCCCACCCAAGTTCCCAATCACATCCATTTATGCAAATGAAGGATAAAACTTGCTTAGTTCTGATTGGTGGAAGCAGCTGAGCCCCAGTTGGTTGATATGGCTGAACTCTGATTGGTTGATACAGCTGAGTTCTAAAAGTCCCAAAGTTAAAAAGGTGGAGGTTTTTGGGAACTCAGAGTGGGTGTATGACCTCTAGTCAGCAAATGGCTGTTTGGCTCTCTATTTTAAATTTAGGCCATTAGCATTTCGGGATTCATCTTGAAGGATTGGTTCTTTCAGGTTCACATTTGTTCACAAGGGTTTCTATGATTGTATATGATTGATATGACACCATTTATTATCAAAAACGTTTTCTAAGTCCATCATGTATCTTTCAGAATTCACCAGTTTCACCACAGAAACGATCCACAATTTCAGTGTTACAACGTTTCGTCTAAATTGCCCATCTTTTGCTGGCCTACTCTTCTAAAAGCCCAGGCCAAATGTCACTCACTGTAAAGCCCTCACTAATCTTTCTCCCAAGCCAAACTCATCCTTTCCTTAAATGTCCACTGATCTTTGACAAAGGAGCAAGGGCAATACAATGGAGGAAAGATAGTCTTTTCAATAAATAATGTAGGAGCTTCTGGACATCCACGTGCAAAAAGAATTGATCTAATTCTTAACATCCTTTACAGAACTTCCTGAAAGACCTACCACCTCTTCAATGGAAAGCATCAACAGTTTGCCCCCTACAATTCTCTGAATTTCTCACCTCAAAATCCTCATCTTGCTTCTTCCACCAATCCTGGATTATTGTAAAATGATTCTTACCCAATCTTAATCAAGACCCCACATTGAAATACCCACCTTAAATCAAACTTCCAATTCTTAATAAATTCTGCCCAGACATTCCCCTCTGAAACATTGCCAAAGTTTGTGGAAGCTGAGGTTTTCCTTGCCAAAATACATAAGAAATTCAAGCTTTGTTTTATCAGCAGGTTTTGTTGGTGATATTTGACTCAGCTAAATACACAAACACACACACACACACACACACTTTGAGCTCATCAATCACATGAAAACATTATAGGGGTTAGATTACCTTATCTAATTATAAAAGTTAGATAAGGGTCAAGTCCAGTGTATTTCTATCCAATGGTAAACAAAATGATAAAAGTTAGTTGACAATTCTCGATACCACTCAGTCTCTCCTGCAGCCATCAGCTCTCTGGTAGGTAAATCATGCATCTGAAGACTTCAAGGCAGATTACCCCAGGGTTTGCTCTCAGGCTCAGATCTTCAGAGAAAATAAGGAACTACTGTACCTACCCACATTTTCAGAGAAACAGAAATTAGGAAGGATGTTGGAGAATGGAAGGGAGAGATGAATTGGGTAAATCCATTGAGGTGAAGTACACCCAAGGGACAAATCAAATCGAAGTGAGACAAGAAGGCAGGATGCCCAACAGTCATCAACTCTAATGATTACAAACTTGGTTAAGATGTATTAATACATTATTACCATATAGTTAAGTAAACATTATACATACAGTGCACAAACTCTATGTACTGCTATCCATATCTATGTCAGTATTTCTCACTGATAAATATATGCAGGGACCTCTTCTTTTTTTTTTTTTTTTTTTTTTTTTCTGAGACGGAGTCTCGCTCTGTTGCCCAGACTCACTGCAACCAACCTCCACCTGCCAGGTTCAAGCGACGCTCCTGTCTCAGCCTCCAAAGTAGCTGGGACTGCAGGCGTGCACCACCACACCCAGCTAATTTTTGTGTTTTTAGTAAAGATGGGGTTACACCATGTTGGCCAGGCTGGTCTCGAACTCCTGACCTCAGGTAATCTGCCTGCCTTGACCTCCCAAAGTGCTGGGATTACAGGCATGAGCCACCATACCCGGCCTAGGACCTCTGTTTTGTTTTGTTTTTTTTTTTAATTATCTCACACCCAAACATTTCTGTAAATTCTTTTTATAATATTTCTTAAATGTAAGCAAACACTAAGTATAAACTGCATGTTCATAAAGCTCTTGTACAAATGTAACACCAAAGGAAATTTACAAATTGTGCACAAACTTTTTTACAAAGTCAGTGTAATGTGGTATATATGATGAAACAAAACTGCCCTAGAAACGTGAACATACTACTGACTGGCAAGCATATGCTCTTGGCCTTCAGAATGCTTGTAAGTATGTCTTGGGGTTGACTCCACTTTCCCATCACTTTCTTCTTTTCAGACTACTGCAACCCTTCATTTGTATAGGAAGATGCCAAGTATGAGGTTCACCTCATTTGTCTTCTCACTAGATCATGACAATTAAAGTAGTATTACCTTATGCTAATTCATTGTGAAAATAAACTCAAATACATGTCCTAATCATGTGACAGCAGTTAGTTATGTGGTCACACAGATATTTCAGAATATGCTTAAAATCAAACACAAAAGTAAAACACATACTTGTAGAAACCTCACATACTCTATCATTAGACTCCAGTTTAAAAAACACCCACCTCTTATAGTATGTGTAAAAGGTATATATATTTAAATTAGACCGCCAGGCGCAGTGGCTCCACCTGTAATCCCAGCACTTTAGGAGGCTGAGGCGGGTGGATCACTTGAGGTCAGGAGTTTGAGACCAGGCTGGCAAACATGGCAAAACCCCATCTTTACTAAAAATACAAAAATTAGCCAGGTGTCATGGCACATGCCTATAATCCCAGCTACTCGGGAGGCTGAGGCAGGAGAATGGCTTGAACCTGGGAGGTGGAGGTTGCAGTTAGCCAAGATCACACCAATGCACTCCAGTCTGAGTGACAGAGCAAGACTCCGTCTCAAAAAATATATAAAATAAAATAAAATAAATTACATGATTTCGTTAGCTTCTTATTAACAGCTCTTATTAACAGTACTTATTAACCTGAGTACCTACATTGTCATGCAGCACTTGACTCTTGTTTCATTTGGCTAATCAAGTCTCTTGTTTGTGGGGACCAAGCCATGGCCCAATCAGCCTCATTGGCCTCAGACCCCTGGGGATTGGTGCATTAGGGACCATAGAACAAACCATCATCAGCCTCACTTCCAGAAGTTTAAATTGGTCAGCCTCATTAGATATTAATGAATGATTCATTTTGAAAGCCACATACACAATGCAACATACCTTCTTGCAATCTCAATGAAAGAAAGCAGGCATGCTCAACAGTCAAACAAGTAACTGAAGCAAGATAATGTATACATTTTAAAGGCACATTGGAAAAGCGGAGCTGTTTTCACTATAAGTTGCATTGGTAGGGCAAGGCACAAGAGTTTAATACTGAATGGGGCTTGTTTTAGTGACAACCCCCACTTCTCTTGCCCTCTTTCTCTTCTTCCTCCTGCCTTCTTTCATCTTTCCCCTCCTTTCCACCTATTTTAGTTCTATGCTTTCCTGAAGGATCAGTGTAGTTTTTTCATAAATACAGTTAATGCAAATAATTGCTTTTATTGAAAAATTATGCTTATATGAAAATGTGCTTCCTTTTATAAAATAGTATTAGGTAGTTTTAAAGATTGTCTTCTTTGGGCAAAGTAAATTAGCAATCTTGGAGTTTCCTCTGCATATATATTTTTTAAATTTTACGCATCCAAGAACAGGAACCACTTGTCCAGAATACAGAGAAGAGAGATGAGATAAAGAGCAAAGCACAGGCCGGGCGCGGTGGCTCAAGCCTGTAATCCCAGCACTTTGGGAGGCCGAGGCGGGTGGATCACGAGGTCAGGAGATCGAGACTATCCTGGCTAACATGGTGAAACCCCGTCTCTACTAAAAATACAAAAAACTAGCCGGCCGTGGTGGCGGGCGCCTGTAGTTCCAGCTACTTGGGAGGCTGAGGCGGGAGAATGGCGTGAACCCGGGAGGCGGAGCTTGCAGTGAGCCGAGATCACGCCACTGCACTCCAGCCTGGGAGACACAGCGAGACTCCGTCTCAAAAAAAAAAAAAAAAAAAGAGCAAAGCACAGTATATGACACCTAACAAGTTGATGCAAGTTGAACAAGTTAAGCTCCATAATATATTTTCTACGGGAGAGAGGGGGCAAATTAGCAGGAGTGCCTAGGTCTCCTTTGGGAGTCAGGGAAGGCTTCACAGAGGAGATAACGTTTGAGCTGGAGTTTGAAGGATTAGCAGGGGAGAAATGGCAGGGCATTCCAAGCAGAGTGCCTACGAGCAAAAGGCGCAAAGCACAAAAGAGTACAACGTGTCCAGCAGCTCTGAGTAGGCGAGTGGCTGCAGCGTAGTGTTCTTGGAGTTAGGTGATCAAGGGTGACGGACGAAGGGACTATTTTTTCCTGCTTGGAAGATTTCTCCTACAGCTCATTGCACGGTGCTGGGCACACATTGCAGGAGCTCAATAAATACTTGTTGAATTGGGACAGGGTGATCGAGTGCGCTGGGAATCAGGGCATCTGGATGCTTTCTCACGCACCCGCAGTGTGACCTTGGCCAAGTCCCTTTTCTGAGACTGCGGTTCCTGCTTAGTAATCAAGTGCGAGTGAGAAAGCGGAGGAGGAGGTTGGCCAGAGGCGCCGAGCCCTTCTAGCGGCCTGAATCCCTGATTTGATGAGTAGAGGGCGGGGCGGGCCGCTCGGGGCCGCGGCAGGCGGAGGTTCAGTTCCTCCTCCGGTCCAGTAGGGGGCACGGGGAGTGGCTTCCCGCCGCCCTTCCCCTCCTGGCGGGCGCCGGGCAGACTGCTGCAGTCACTAGCATTGAGCGCAGTGGGCGGGGCGGGCCTGGCCGGGCCGGGCGGCGGCGCTGCGCTGACGGGCTGAGTCGGGCGGCGGCGGCAGCTGCAGAGGCTACCTAGGCGCTAACTGGGTGGCCGGTGGGCTGCTGTGGCCTCGAGCAGCCTCTTCGCGCGGCCCCGCACCCCGCAAGCAGCAGCGGGCCGCGACGCCCAGCCTGCCAGTGAGCTGCGGCGGGCACACCCCGGAGCGGCGGCGACTGCGGACAGGTTAGAGTGGGGGCAGGGGCGGGCGCGGGAGCAGCCCAGGGCCAGAGAGGGAGCCCGAGCCAGGCAATATCCAACCATGTCCGACGAGGCCTCGGCCATCACTTCCTACGAGAAGTTTCTAACCCCCGAGGAACCCTTCCCACTCCTGGGACCTCCTCGCGGGGTGGGCACCTGCCCCAGCGAGGAGCCGGGCTGCCTGGACATCAGCGACTTCGGCTGCCAGCTGTCCTCCTGCCATCGCACCGACCCGCTCCACCGCTTCCACACCAACAGGTACGAACTGCACCTGAGGGCAGGGGTGGATTTTCCACCTCTGCTCGCCCCCTTGCTCCTGGTCCTTCGTCCCGGGCTGCGCTTCCAGTCGCACCCTCCCCCACCTGCCTTTGACCAGCACTCATTCCCGGGCTCCTTCCCTGCCCCCCCTCCCTATTTTCACCCCTGCCCTCCGATTTTCCTTTCGACCGGCGTTTTACTCTCTTTTCCTCATTCATATTCTGGCTATAGCGACTCCTCCCTTCCCTACCTTCTTCCTCCCTCGCTTCCCTTCCCTCCCCCCATCTGTACCCTACGAATCCCAAACCCCCACCCTTGATTTTTAGATACGCCCCTGTTTCCATCCATCTGCAAAAGTTTAACCCCTTCCATTTCCGGTACGCTGTAGAGGAATTTGGATGACTCAAGATCAATCCATAGATCTTTTGAAAAGTGGCGTTGAAAGATGGCACGTTTAAAGCTAGAAGCTTAATTTTCCCTATTTTTAACCTATCTCACAGTCCTCTTCCCCCACCCCCCGCCACCACCCCACCCCATTTTTTTTTTTTTTTTAGTTGAGCGCTAGGAAACTAGTCGATTATTTCTTTTTTTCCCCCCTCCTTTATTAACTGTTTGCCTTAGCGCTTTGGGCTCAGCCAAACTGGGTAAGCTTAAATCTGGAAGATTCCTTCATATGACATATCCCTTGGTTTGCTTCCCCTTTGAAGGGACAGAGTAAGGCTTAGGATGGACTGACTTACACAAATTTATTCAGAGGGTGTATCTCCTCCTAACTGATTTCGGTAGAAGGTAGTGTTCTGGAGACTTCTCTCATGCAAGCATTTACGTGTTAGATCAAATCTTGGGGGTGGGGGGATTTGAAGACGTCCTAGATATAGCCTCAACTTTTAATATAGGTGGATATTTGAGATATGTATACAAAGGGCTGGGGGTGTGTGTGGATAAGGCTCTAGGAGAGGGGTTCAGCTATGGAAAATACTGGAGATAAATTAAGAAATTTAGTTCTGACTTCTGATTCAAATTTATGATGTGAGTTTGATCAAATTCTTTCATATTTTAATGTCTTTAGCATATTTCTCCCCTCCCTTCCCTTAAATCAGTCTGTAGATTGAATGAGCTTCTACCAGGTACAAGGAATGTGTAAAAGATGTTTCTTACGTAAATGAAAGTTATAGTCTATGGGAACAAGGTGTTATAGTTAAATAATCAGAATATCAGTATAACACATCTCAAAAGGAAGTGGCAGTAAATTTATTATGAGTACTCTAAATCATCATTGCAAAAACTGAAGAAACAGTCCCAGAAAGAAAAGATTGAGTTCAAGGTCGTAAAACCTAGTCAAGCAAATCCAAGACTATTCCTTTGAAGCCAATGATGAAACCTGGAACAGAACTAATCGATCCCGTGTTACAAATAGAACTTACGGTTTCCTAGACCAACTCACAGAACCCTATTTAACCCCTGATGTCACTGTAATGTGAATGTAACGTATTCATGAAATCAAGTGTGCTTAGGGTTATTTATGTTGGAAAATAATATAAAAGAATACCTTTGTACATATTTGGCATTTAAGTTTTGCAGCCTTGGAGCAAGTCACATACCCAGGAAAGTTAAATGATTTCAGAATGATCCTGCTGGATGATGAGGGCAAGGGAGTGAGGGCAGAGGCTGTGGGTAAGTACTGCCAAAACTGGGTGGAGGTGATGGGGAGTGAAGCTATGAGAATAATATGTTTCTTACAACTTGTTCTGTTCCTCCTCCTCCTCCCGATTTTTTCCCTGTGTTTTCTTCCCCTAAAAGACTTTGGTGAGGTCAGGACTTTTTTTCAATGGGGCAGTGAGGAGGGGAGAAGGAGGTTCTTTGGAAGCCCCAGTTTTTCCAAGTCAAACATTTTTCCTAGTTACTGCCTGCTTTTTTTTTTTTTTTTTTTTCAACGTCCCTCTCCTACCCTACTTTTCACAAGGCTTGGCATGGTGGCAGGGGTTCTAATGCTCTGTATCCTTTTCAGCAGAGAGTAGGGGAAGCAAAATTAGCAATATTCACAGCACATGATGTTTCTGCCCTAGGCTACCTTGCCTTTTAAATCTATTATCCTTCTGGAATGTTCTGCCTTCTTACCCCTCCTCAAGATGGTGCTTGAGAGGACCATAGGCTTCCAGCCATTTCTTTTCAGGAAGAAGCACACAGCTAAATCATATATTGGGCAAAGTTTAGGGAGTTCTTTTATTTTGGAGTGGTATGTGTCACTTTTTCCCTTCACATCACGTCATTTGCCAATTCAGGCAACAACCCAAAAATCAGATTTCAAATAGTTGTAGGCTGAAATTCTGCCTTGGGTTTAGTCATTGTAAAACAAATTTCATTGGAAGTAGGAAGCTTGTTAATTGGTAGATATTTGACTTAACCTTTATTTTGCTTCCTTCTTGATACCTGATAAGAAAAATGTGGAGATTTAAAAAATAATGCCCTTGATAAGGACTTTATGATTATGACAGTTTGTGCCTACTCATTTACTGGATTCTGGGCTATATTTGCAATTTTCATTAACAAAGACAGTCACAGCACTGAGGTTGAATGGATGCAATATTTAGATTTTTTTTTTTAAGACAGAGTCTTACTCTGTCACCCAGGCTGGAGTGCAGTTGCACAATCTTGGCTTAGGGCAACCTCTGCCTCTTGGGTTCAAGCGATTCTCCTGCCTCAGCCTCCCGAGTAGCTGGGACTGTAGGCGCATACCACTACGCCTGGCTAATTTTTATATTTTCAGTAGGGACAGGGTTTCACCATGTTGGCCAGGCTGATCTTGAACTCCAGACCTCAGGTGGTCCACCCACGTCGGCCTCCCAAAGTGCTGGGATTACAGGTGTGAGCCACCGCGCCCGGCCCAATATTCAGATTAAAGTCATTTGTGGCGTAGGTTGGTATGTCACTGGTCTAGGTTCAGTAGAAAATACATTACGTGGACACAGCCAGTTTCCTAATCATTCATACCTTAAGACTTACATGGATTGGTCTAGAATTTTAGGAAAATAGAATAAATTTCAGTAAGCCAAAAAAGTGAATGAATTTTTTAAAAATGTGAAATGTCAGTGTGGAACATATGTAGTGTTTAAGACATTTTCTTTCGTTTGGGGGGCAGTGATTTTCTGATGTAAATGGGGGCTTTCTCTTAGCACTTCCAAACTGTCGCATAAATCAGTTACTCAGTTATGTGATTTTAGAGCTCCATTTTCAATCACCATTAACCAGAAAAACCTAAAGACTATTGTGTGCCTTTGGTAACACCCATAGTTTTCCTATCTAGATACAGAATTAGAGGTGCAGAAGAGCTGTGGGTTGCAGGTGGGAGAACCATGTTGGAGAAATTTGGTTTGGGGACTTGCTGAGACAAGTCGAAAATGGGGGTTAGGATTTGGAGAAATATCCAGGCTAGAAATACAGATTTGGGAGTAATCAGTAGAAATCCGTGACGTGATAGAAGTGGAACTACAGGTTACAAAGGTTGAGAAAGTGGAAGCTTTTCAATAAATTTAGCAGGGAAGGAAAGGAGAAGGGGAGATGTTGTGAGAATTTGAAAGGGAAGTAAAGGTTTCTTTCTTTCTTTTTTTTTTTTAACCTCATTTAGTTTTTCTTTTCCAAGAATAGAGATGTTACCTCCTTAGAAGCAGGCCACAGGAAAGGGAGAAATTGAAAATATAAAAGAAGATGGGATGAGAGATAGAGATGATGAACTCAGAAGTTCAAATGGGATCATTAGCCTTAGAAATGACACAGAGTGTTTTTTACTTCCAAGGCAATAAAGAGGGTGGGAAAGATGGGTAATGAACCCAACATGATTGAGATAGCGAGGAGGAAAGTAGGGAACTTAAGTGGGTAGAAGAAGGGGTTGTATATTCTCTAACTTGGAACCTTGGTGGTCTGTTGGACTCCAGAATAGCAGCAGAGGTCAGGTTGGCTATATGGGGATTCTGACAGAGAGTCAGTGGTGAATACAAGTACTGATAGGGCACTGTCCCCTAAGAATGAATGTATAGCATAGACTTCAAATGACCTTCATCAGCTTGACAGGACTTTATGTGCTCATTGGCTGGATTCTTATCTTCAGAAGTGGCAATCAGGTCCACCTGAGAGAAAAGGGGACTGCAGAGGAATGTATACATGGTGCACATGCTTTTCTTAATTTTAATTCTTAATTTTAACATTTAAATGGCTATTTACCAAAATACTATTGAAAGTCCTTAGTCTGTATATTCTTGCTGAAACACCTTGCAGAGAAATATTCTTGGCTTTATTTTTTTGTAAATTAAAATTTGGGCAGCAAGCCTAGTGATTGAGTTAAACACTGTGTTTCACTGGAATTCTTTTCAACATCTTTCACGATTTTGAAGAAAGTCTCCTTTGAGAGTAATATTATGGTTATAGCTAGAATCGAAGTGTTAGGTAGCTTTCTCTTAGTGGAATAAAATGTAAGGGCTTGTAAATTTGAATAGTTTAGTGCTGAGCACACAATGGACATTCATTACAAGTTTGAAACTGACAGAACAGTCTAAAAGAATCATACTTAAATTTTTATTTAAAAACTTATTATAGAAAACTGAGGGCATATAAAAAACTGTAGACTACTCATGATCCTTTTCCCCAAAGGTAACAACTATCAACATTTTAATGATGTTTCTTTTAATGTTTCTATGTACATATATAATTTTTAAAAATCAGGATCAGGCTGTATATACAGTTTGTGACCTGCATATTTGCACTTACATTGTTGGGTGTTTTCCTTTTGAATAGTCTGAAAATATGATTTTTAGTGATTATAAAAATACCATTCAGATATATCATTTAATCCCTATATTTTAGGGGCATTTGTTTTCCCTTTTGGACTATTACAAATAGTATTGTTTGAACATATTTGTATACACATCTTTTTTCCAAATTTCTATTTGGGGAAGGGAACACAATTCCTAGAAGGGGAATTACTAATTCCAAATGAATGAACCTTTTTAAACCTCTAGATGTACATAGTACTGCCAAATTGCTTTTAAGAAAGATTATGTCAACTTACACTGTCACTAGCAATGGATGAAAGTACTTCCTACTTTGTTTTTATCTATATTGCCTTAAAATTATGATCTTAAAAATTTGCAGATTAGAAGATACAAAAATTTTGCCAGGTGCATTGGTTCACACCTATAATCCCAGCGCTTTGGGAGGCCAAGGTGGGAGGATTGCTTGAGCCCAGGCATTTGAAACCAGCTCGGACAACATGATGAAACCCTTTTTCTACCAAAAAAAAAAAAAGCAAAAATTAGCCAGGCGTGGTGGTATGTGCCTATAGTCCCAGCTGCTGGGAAGGCCGAGGTGAGAGGATGAATCAAGCCCAGGAGGTCAAGCCAGCAGTGAGCCATGATTGCACCACTGCACTCCAGCCTGGTTGACAGAGCAAGACCCTGACTCAAAAAAAAAAAAAAAAAAAAAAAAAGAAGAGGATATAAAAAATGTTACAATCTTTACTAGTAAAAAATATTATTATTCTATTTTATGAATGGTTTGTTCAATTATGAGTTCAGTTTACTTGCCACTGATAATTAAAAACAAAAGACAAAGACTTCTGAGAACATTCAGAACCTTGTGATGGTTACAAATCTGAAAAACTGAGAAACACACTGACTTTGCCCAAAGGTAAGAGCACAAAATGAAGCAAATTCCTGACTCCTTTGGCAGTGATCTAATGGTTAGATTACTAAATATGGCATCTTTTTTTTTTTTTTAAGGAATGTCATTATTACTCATGGAGAGAAACACATTTCTACAGAATTTTTAGAAGCTAAAAAGAAATTCTAATTAAAAACAATTATCTAACAGTTTTTCCTAGCACTGAACATATTATTTGGTACATAGAAGATACTGACTAAATGTTTGTTGAATGAGTGAATGAATAAAGGGAAAAAAATCACATGTAATTCGAAGACACAAGAGAAAAATAGTTTGCTCAGGACATAATGTAGATAGGGCTTACTGTGTCCAGAATGTATTTTTGTTTTGTTTTGAGACAAGGCCTTGCTCTGTCGCTCAGATTGGAGTACAGTGGCAGGATCAGCTTGCTGTAACCACAAACTCCTGGGCTCCGGTGAACCTCCTGCTTCAGCCTCCTGAGAGTAGCTGGGAATACAGACATGTGCCACCTTGCTCAGCTCATTTTTAAATTTTTTGTAGAGACAGTGTCTCGCTTTGTTACCCAGACTGGTCTCAAAGCAGGGTGTGATTCCTCTTCATAACTTTTATTGCAAGACCTGGGATAATTTGGTTAATTAAAAATTTTTCTAAAATGAGGATACTGTTTACCTAGCAAGCATGTGATGAAAGTAATATTACAAGATATTCTAGGATTCTTAGATGAATTTTATTTTTTTTACTATCTATAAAAATTTTTTTTTTTTTTTTTTTTTTTTTTGAGACGGAGTCTTGCTCTGCCGCCCAGGCTGGGGTGCAGTGGCCGGATCTCAGCTCACTGCAAGCTCCGCCTCCCAGGTTTACGCCATTCTCCTGCCTCAGCCTCCCGAGTAGCTGGGACTACAGGCGCCCGCCACCTCACCCGGCTACTTTTTTGTATTTTTTTTTAGTAGAGATGGGGTTTCACCGTGTTAGCCAGGATGGTCTCGATCTCCTGACCTCGTGATCCGCCCATCTCGGCCTCCCAAAGTGCTGGGATTACAGGCTTGAGCCACCGCGCCCGGCCACTATCTATAAAAATTTATTGACATCTATTTTCTATTTACTGAATTATAATAGTTTGTGTGTATGTGTGTTTCAGTGTTTTAAAATGCTCTACCTTCAATTCAAAAGAAAAGGTACCATAAAGTTTTTCAGATTGTCCAAATTTTTTATGTAAATCAAGAACTTCTAAAAGATTAGCCATACAAAATGGAGGAAGTTAAAAAAATGAAGTGCGTAATTTGAGAAACAGTAGATTTAATGAAGGATGAGACACGACCTAATAATAGGTAAATAACAGACTTTTCATAAGGCAGTCATTACTTCAGGAGCTTGTTAGTACTGGAAATACTAAATCATTATCTTAAGGATTAATTCCCTATGCTACTGGCAAAGCAATGAAAATTGTCTTATTAATAGTATAAAACTAGTGGAAATTTACAAAAGAAAACAGATTGATAGATTTCAAGACCAAAAAAAAAAAAAATCCAACCAAAAACCCTACAATAAATACTGTAGACAAAATGTTAATATCCTTAATGCATAAATAACTCTTACAAAATTAGTAATGAAAATATTAACACATAGGAAAACACCATAGCAGAATAGCTAATAAATATTTAAAAATTTGATCTTGCTAGTAATTAAATAAATAAAACTTGATATAAAAATGTTTCTGTGCCAGTGCAGTGGCTCACGCCTGTAATTCCAGCACTTTGGGAGGCTGGGGTGGATGGATGGCTTGAGCTCAGGAGTTTGAGACAAGCCTGGGCAACATGGCAAAACCCCATCTCTACAAAAAATACAAAAATTACACAGGCGTGTTGCACCTGTGGTCCCAGCTACTTGGGAGGCTGAGATGGGAGAATCGCTTGAGCCTGGGAGTTTGAGGCTGCAGTGAGCTGTGTTTGTGTCACTGCACTCTAGCCTCAATGACAAAAGTGAGTCCCTGTCTCATAAAAACAAAAAGTTTCTGTCCTATAAGATAGGTAAAAAAAAATTTTAGCAATTTTAGTGCTGTTAAGATTGTGGTGAAATGAGCACTTTTATATACTGCCTTGGGGAGTATAAATTGATGCAGCCTTTCAGAAAGGTGTTGACTAAATTGATCCTTAGAAGTGTTCATATTCTTTGACTCCGTACTTAGCTTTCAAGCAGCTGTGTCCTGAGATAATATATTTTGATAAATAATTATAAACAAGGCTCATCTCAGTATTATTTCTAATATTAAAAAATTAGAAACAACTTATGTATCTATTATTGGGGGAATAAAGTTAAATAAATTATGATACATTTAATACAATGGAATATTATATAGGCATTAAAATGTTTTTAAGTAATATACTTAGGAAAATGTTTAGCATATTAATGTTAAATGAAAAAAGCAATATACTAAAATATATATACACAGAATGGTTGCTGATTCTGTAAAAAATATGTATGCACATAAAAATAAACTACCAAAATATTATAGATTAGTTACTGCTGGATAATGGAATTATTGATCATTTTATTATTCATTCCTTTCTTTCCAACATCTTTGCAATGAGCCTGTACAGCATTAATATGGAAAAGTTACTTAAATATAACAAACACTTCTTGAACATCTACCTGTGTAGATGCTTGTTGGTGCTTTTCTCTGCCCTGCAATGGCCCCACTCTTCCTTTAACAATAATAAAAGCTGTCATATATTGGGCACTTTTTATGTGTGCTGCAAGTGCTCTGTATTCATTCTCATGTGATCATCACAGTACCTCCATTGGGACACAGACTTGGAGAGAGTGTTATTTGCTTAAAATCAATTAGCTAGGAAGTGACAGAGCAAGAATTTGAACTGTCTGATTCTAGAGCTTACTCATAACCACTATGCTGTATGTTTTGTTTGTGGATGAAGATTTTACTTTAGTCCTAATTTAAATACTACTTTATTTTAAAATAGTGTACTACAAAAATTTTCAGGCAGCTACAAAAGTAGAGAGAAAAGTGTAATGTACCCCATGTTCCTGTCACCCAGCTTCAACATTTATTCATATATGGCATCATGCTTCATCTGTACCTCTATCCACTCCCCAACCCCTGCCTTATTTTGAGGCAGTTCCTAGACATATATCATTCATAAATATTTTAGTATATTTCCTTAAAAGGTAAGGGTTCTTTTAAAAATACAAAAAAAAAAAAAACCCTCACATTCCTTATACATGTTATAAATATGTCCTGTTAATTATATCTTAACATTGTGTGGATTCTGTAGTTCTTGTGATTTCTTTTATGTTGTGTTTTTGAAGGTGGAACCTAACTTCTTGTGGAACAAGTGTTGCCAGCTCAGAAGGCAGTGAGGAGCTGTTTTCATCTGTATCTGTTGGAGATCAAGATGATTGCTATTCCCTGTTAGATGATCAGGACTTCACTTCTTTTGATTTATTTCCTGAGGGGAGTGTCTGCAGCGATGTCTCTTCTTCTATTAGCACTTACTGGGATTGGTCAGATAGCGAGTTTGAATGGCAGGTAAGTTTTTTTGTCCTTTTCTTGTCCTCATTACTATAGAAGTAGAACTATAAACTTCTCTTTTGATATTTTCATCTCTACTTCAAAGTAAATTTCTCTACTGTTTATCCAGTCCTGGAGATTCTCTTACAACGTGTTTTAAAGTTAAGAATTTGATCGGGATATCTTTATTTTTGCTAATGTACCTTTTAGATGCTATAGATCTCCTTTTGTAGATTTTTATGTTATTTAATACTTGTGTAATATTACCATTATTATATATCATCAGTACCTTTCTATGCATGAATCCAAGCAAATTTATGCTTCCTACCCTATAATAAATAGGTTTTGTGTCCTTATAGGACACATATCAGTCACATTATGTATCTAATATCATAAACTGTTATTACCATAAATACATGATTTTTGGTTCTGTCATCAGAAATATATAATTTCTCATTTTGTATTCTGTTTGTATGTAGACATGTTTTTCGCCTGACACTTTTTTCTTGTGGCGTATATACCATGTAAAACGGCTTTGTGGTAAATTGTTTGAAAATGCTGCCTTATAATGAGTGCAGTTTGTCAGAAAATTTAGATTGTGTTATTACAACATCCATATTCTGATTGTAAAAACGATACACTTAAAGATGTTTTCCCTGCCTACAGCAAAGATTTTATTTGCTAGATAAACTCGAATGCCTGCTACGCTTGAAAGCTATCTGAATACTTGAAGTTTTATTCCAAAAGAGGAATTGAATATTATAATTTCAAACAGCTTTCAAATAATACAGAATGGCACCCAATTTAAAAAGTCTCCAAGTCCCACTCTACTATGGTTACCACTGTTAGGAGCTTATGCAGATTCAAGTATGTTTGCATACTGTTAAAAACACATGGGATTATACTTCATCCACTGTTCGGCCCTGTGCTTTTTTTTCAGTTAACACATCTCATTCTTTTCCATAACTGGATCATAATTTACTTAATCCATTTCCTAATTATGGCTATTTCAGTTTGTTTCAGTTTTTTGTTGTTATAAACGATGCTACACTGAAAAGATGAGATTTTTTTTTAAGAAAAAAAGTAATTCACAACCCTTCCGTTTTTGTTTTTCATATTATTTTGGTTAAAAATTTTTTTAACTTTTTAAAAATTTGAGGTGAAATTCACCATTTTCATCATTTTGAAATGTATAGTTCAGTAGTTATTAATATACTCACAGTGTTGTGCAGCCATCACCACTATGTAATTCCAGGGCATTTCTGTCACCCCCAAAAGAAATCTTATACCCATTAGCACATAGTCCCAGTTCTCCCCTCCCCCTTATCACCTGGCGACTACTAATCTAATTTCTCTATAGATTTGCTTTTGTAGATATTTCATATAAATGGATGAATATGTGGCCTTTTGTGTCTGGCTAATCTTTCATTTGGCTTAATGTTTTCAAGGTTCATCCATGTTGTACCATATAACAGCACTTCATTCCTTTCTATGACTAATATTCCATTTCGTAGATGTACACTACCACATTTTGTTCATCCATTCATTAGCTGATGAACTTTGGGTTGTTTCTACTTTTTGGCTGTTATAAATAATACTGCTGTGGACATTCAGGTACAAGTTTCTATGTGGATTTATATTTTTAATTCTCTTGGATATACCCCTAGGAGTGGAATTGCTGGATCATATGATCACTTGATATTTAACTTTTTGAGGAACTGCTAACATGTTTTCCAGAGTGACTACACCATTTTACTTTTCCACCAGCAACGTATGAAAGTTCCCATTTCACCACGTCCTTGTCCACACTTGGCCTTGTCTTTTTGTTTATAGCCATCCTACTGGGTATAAATTGGTGTTTCATTATGGTTTTGAGCATCTTTTCATGTGCTTTTTGACCATTTGTGTGTCCTCTTTGGAGAAATATCTATTCAGATACCTTGCCCCTTTTAAAATTGTGTTATTTTACTTTTTATGTTTGCATTGTAAGAGTTCTTTCTATATGCTGGCTATTAGACCCTTATCAGATATATGATTTGCGAAGATGTTTTTATTCTGCGGGTTGTCTTTTTGCTTGTTAGTATTTATTCACTTGATAGTGTCCTTTGACACCAAAGTTTTTAATTTTAATGAAGTCTAATTTATCTTTTTTTTGCTGTACTGATAATATCATATTTTAAAAACCGTTGTGTAATCCAAGATGAGGAAGATTTTCACCTGTTTCCTTCCCAGACTTTTAGAGTTTTAGTTCTTACATGTAGGTCTTGATCCATTTTGAGTTATTTTTTGTATATGATGTGTAAGATAGGAGTCCAGATTCATTCTTTCTTTTGTGTGTGTGTGTGTGTGTGTGTGTGTCTTGTTTTTTGAGATAGAGTCCTGCTCAGCTCAGTTGCCCAGGCTGGAGTGCAGTGACGCAATCTCAGCTCACTGCACCCTCTGCCTCCTGGGCTCAAGCCATTCTCCTGCCTCAGCCTCCCGAGTAGCTGTGATTACAGGCGCCCACCACCAAGCCCGGCTAATTTTTGTATTGTTAGTAGAGACAGGGTTTCACCATGTTGGCCGGGCTCGTCTTGAACTCCTAACCTCAGGCAATCCGCTGCCTTGGCCTCCCAAAGTGCTGGGATTACAGGCTCATTCTTTCTTTTTTTAAGAACGGAGTCTCACTATGTTGTCCATGCTGGTCTCGAATTTTTGGGCTCAAGCAGTCCTCTCACCTCATCCTCCTGAGTATCTGGGACTATAGGCATGCACCATTGCACCTGGCTCCCAAATTTTTTATTTTGTATGGGGGTATCCAGTTGTCCCAGCACCATTTGTTGCAAAAATTATTCTTTCCTCATTGAATCATCTTGGCACCCTTTTGAAAATGAATTAATCATAGATGTGTGGGTTTATTTTTGGACTCTGAATTCTATTCCATTGATGTGTCTATCCTTAAGCTAGTACCACACTGTTTTAGTTATTATAGCTTTTCAGTAAGTTTTGAAATTGAGATGTGTTCTCCCACTTTGTTGTTCATTATAAAGATTGTTTAGGCTCACATCTGTAATCCTAGCACTTTGATAAACTGAGGTAGGTAGATAGCTTGAGCCCAGGAGTTCAAAACGAGCCTGGGCAACATGGCAAAACCCCGTGTCTTTAAAAAAAAATGCAAAAATTTGCCAGGCATGGTGGTGTGCACATGTGGTCTCAGCTACTCAGGAGGCTGAGGTTGGAGGATCGCTTGAGCCCTGAAGGTGGAGGTTGCAGTGAGCTGAGATTGTGCCATTGCACTCTAGCCTGGGCAACAGAGCTATTTGGGGTCCTTGCAATTCCGTATGAGTTTTAGGATCAGGTTGCCCATTTTTCAAAAAAGTGTAGTTGGAATTTTGATAGAGATCACGTTGAATCTGTAGATTGCTTTGGGGAGTATTGCCATCTTAACAATATTAAATATTCCAATTAATATGGGATGGAATATCTTATTTATTTAGGGCTTCTTTATTTCAATGATGTTTTGTAGTTTTCAATGTCTAAGTCTTACACTCTCTTGGTTGAATTAATTCCTAAATATTATATTCTTTTTGATGCTGTTATAAATGGCATTGTTTTCTTAATTTTATTTTCAGATTGTTCATTGCTAGTGTATATATAGAAATACAATTGGTGTTTGTATATTGATTTTGTATCGTGCCAACTTTGCTGAAGTCATCTGTTAGCTTTAATAATTTTTTCCCCTGTGTGGATTATTTATCATTTTCTATATTTAAGATCATGTCATCTATGAATAGAGATAGTTTTCCTTCTTTTTTCCTCATCTGGATGCCTTTTAATTCTTGCTTAGTTGCCCTAACTAGATCTCCTGTACAGTGTTTAATAGAAATGGTGAAAGTGAGCATCCTTGTCTTTTTCCTAATCTTAGGGGAGAAGTTCAGTCTGCTTCTCAATGTGGTTTTTTAGTATTTTGTTAAGGAATTTTGCATCTATATTCATAAGGGATATTGGTCTGCAGTTTTCTTTCTCAGTTGTGTCTTTGTCTAGCTTTGGTGTCCAGGTAATACTGTCCTCATAAGGAGATAGGAAGTTTTTCCTCTTCTGGTTAAAATTTTTTAATAAGATTTTCTCATTTAAGATATAAACTTTTTCATGATATTCATAATGAATTTTTCAGTGTTTTTTTTGTTTTGTTTTGTTTTTTGGAGACAAGGCCTCGCTCTGTCACCCAGGCTGGAGTGCAGTGATGCAAAAATGGGTCACTGCAGAATTGACCTCCTGGGCTCAAGCAGTCCTCCTGCCTCAGCCTCCTCAGTAGCTGGGACCACAGGTGGGCACCACAAAACCAGCTAAATTTTTTTTTGTTTTTTTGTAGAGACAGGGTCTCACTTTGGTGCCTAGGCTGGTCTTGAATTCCTGGGCTCAAGCGATCCTTCCACTTTGGCCTCCCAAAATGGCGAGCCACCGTGCTCAGCCAGTGTCTCTCTCTCTCTCTCTGTCTCTCTCTCTCCCCCCCCTTTTTTTTTTTTTTTTTGTAGTGCAGACTTTGTATTTAAAATCAGACTGCAACAATTCTTAGTAAAGCATAAGTCAGTTAGAGTCCTGATAATTCTAAGAAATATTTTTTCTGCTTATTTTATGTGATTTATTTAGAGTTATCATCCATAATGTTACAAGGTGGCAGACATTTTTAAATTTTAATTGCTGGCTCCTTCACTTATGTTGCGAGTAGTTAGAGTGGAAAACCATCCCCAGCCATTCACCGTTAATGTACATGAGTGACTATGATGTCAGAACAAAAATCATACCTGCCTTAGTAATGTGTTTTCCCACTTGTGAAATTGGAGTATGGATACTCTGTTACCATGGATATCTGCTATTTAAATATGCTGAAAGATTTAAAGTGCTGTCTTGTATTTGTGGGATTTCATAATGATGAGCAGTAAATTATCCAAGAAGATAATTACAAATTACATGTTAGGATTAATATGGATTAAATTCATTTACTATAGTTAAAAAATTTGTATTACTTCTGTTATGAT